GCAACACCCTATCCCAGATTCAAAGGGGAAAAGGAGGGACCCTTAAATTAGGAACCCTACCCTATAATGGGCTATATAATAGGTATATAATAGCTATATTAAGGGTATATACCTAGGGGTCCTTATTAAGGGTCCCTCCTTTTACCCTTGGACAGATGAAGGCCCTATATCCGGTGAAAACATGAAGCCTTTCTTTTCGGAGTTTCAGTCGCCGCTTCTTCACGATGCTCCCTGTATGATCTCTATGATGTCACAGGATGTCACTTGAACCCGGTGGAAGAGCCACCAGTAAGCTTCAAGCTCACATGTTCTTCTCCTCTCGGCTTACCATGGCGTGTAGTGCGGGCTTAAAGTTTAGGCTTCAAGAGGATCTCTGTCACGATTCTACTTGTTAGGATCGAAGTGAATAATTCTGTGATGTGGTTCGTTTATTTACAATGTAACACAGTGAAAGCGTGAAATAAGCGAACAACAAACAGAACATGAACGAAATACACACCTTAATTTCCAAGGTGAAGAATTGCTCCTTTTTATTGCATTATTTTGCCCATGGCTCGTTTATAATGAATCCGTGCTCTGGTTTGAACTAAATCAAACGTAAGGAACGCACGGTTGAAATAAAGAAAAGAAAACACTGCTCTTTTTGCGTCCTTTCCTATTTGGCCTTTTTCACGCATTTCTTTCACTTTTCATTTGTAAAAAGGCCACAGCAAGAAGTAATAAAAAAGACTAAATTTTTGTTTATAGGTTAAGTTTATTAGCCGTTCCAGATTTCGGGGAGGGGAGGGTGTCAAGACAAGAGGGACAAGAAACCATTTTGGTTGCAGACTTGATTATAGCAGGCTTCAAATTCGGTTTGGGGTTAGCCCTAAAGCCTGTAACCCCCCATCCCAAACCCCAACACCCTGCAACCGCTGAAACCCTCATCCGTCTTCTACCTGTCACTGCAAACCGCAAAACCAGGTCCGCTCCTTATCATCAACAACGTCCGGGAAAGAGTGGAAGGATTCTGCCAGCCCTTCTGCTTGCCGGGGGTGTGAGGCTTCCGGCAGAAAATTAAGTCTTTGGCATTCTTTGTTATTTGTTGCCTAAACCCCCAAACGTAGGTAATAAATTGGGCCGACAACTACGAATGGCTGTTATTCCATGTGCTTTTGGCTGTCCAGGTAAGGCATAGGATTCGACTTAGTTTGTTTTCTGGTTCAGGGGCTAGGGCTTCGGAATTTCGGTTATCGGGTTAAGGACCTGAGTGTGCTGGCCGCCGAGTGTGCCAATACCCGCTGGGGCGGATTACTGTGCGAGTAGTAGTGGATCATCTTAGAACTACTAACCATTGATATTGGGGGAGCTAAGGAGCCAGGGATGATGATAATCCCTACTAGATAAGGAGCTAAAGAGCCAAGGGAACCCCCAAAATCACTGGTTAGACTAGGAAATCGCACCCAACCAGTTATCCTACGCTCACCTCTTTGCCTCAAAGTCTCATCCGGGCCAGCACCTGAACCATCCTTAGTCCTGTCTCCTAGGGATCTAAGCCCGAACCCACTAAAGGTCTCGAAGTAACCTTAAATCCTTTAACCTTTGTGGTATAATACAATCCCTATAAATAGAATCCCAAAGGTTAACCTTTAAATCCCGTAGGATACTGGACAAGCATGCGCAGGTCTACACCACCGAGCCCTCGAACGCTGCTGTCGAAATCGGGGGTTGGTGCATTACCAAGACCAGGTGGAGCCGCTTGACTGAGTTTTGGGTTTCCTGCGCTCTCGTGTGTGTATTATCGACTAAAGAGATCTGACTAAGCAGGAATAGTAATAGTCGTATAGTTTATGTCAAAGTCTATGCATGATTTCGCTAATCAGCTCCACCCAAAACTGCTGGGGACTCTCCGACTGTCTACCTAAGGCCTGAACGGACTTGGTAAGCAGGTGTTGGGGTTCTAAGTCCCCGGTCCCCTAAGAGGGGTTATCCTAATGTGATAACCTTACTTCAAACCTTACTTACTGAGTCCCTTGGGCCTTTAACTACTTGGAAGGGCAGGGGACTTAGTAAGTAGCTTATAAGTAGGATTATAATTGGGGTAACTCCATTTGGGGTACTTATAACTCTACTTATAAGCTACTTACTAAGTCCCCTGCTCTTCCAAGTAGGGCTCGGATCTTGCCGGGTGGCTTGCCAGGAAGGCACAGGCTCGGTCCAACGTGTGTTTGGATTCGGGTCTTGGTTTAGGCTTTAGGGGGGTTGTTTAGGGTTTAGGGGTCTGTAAGATTTGTTTAGGGTTTAGGGCTTTGGGACTTGTTTAGGGTTTAGGGTTTGTTTTGGGTTTAGGGTTTCCGGATTGTTTAGGGTTTGTTTGGGGTTTAAGGCATAGTCCTTGCGATGTTATGGTGGCCACATCAGTTTGGAGAAGCAGAAAGGATGATTCATGCCTTCATATACAGAAGGAGCTGTGCTTAGCTATCTAGCATATATATATATACATATATATATATATGGCAGACGGCTGGATGGAGATGTGGCAGGGAGATGCCAGTTGCGGACGGCGAGCCATTGCAGAAACCGCGACTCCTGCGGCTTAAACTCTGTGCAAAGCTTGTAAAGGGAACTCCATAAAGGGGTTAGGATAATCATATTCCAACTTTCTGGCTTCTACTGTAGCACAGCTATATGAGGAACTGGGCTTCTAGCTAGAGGGTGTCCTTTTGTAGAGAGTAGCAATGAGTTAGGCTTAAAGGACGTGACCAGGATCTTATTGTTATGGCTGACACGAAAGGAGGACTCGCGAATCAGCACGCAGGTAAGAGTAGTAGAAGCTCGCAGAGAAGCAGTAGTCCCAGAATCCTTGTATTAGAGGGCTCTTCCGAAAGAGCAGGCACCTAAAACATAGTGATTGACAAGTACAGCCATCATGTTGGTACAGAAGAACGTAAGTGGCAAACATTTCCATCACAGCATCCTAGCAGCGGTGTCACGAATTATAACACGATTGATAGTGGGATTTCATTGTTTGCCACATTTGCCGAAGGCACGCTGATTGCTGGAACAGGGATCAAAGATTCACTCGCCCCTCTGATGTTTGATGTTTCTCCGTGCCCATGTATGCATGCATGTTAACATCATGTATCTATGTATAAGATACATCCGTGTCTGTAGCTGCATACCAATATTCAATAGTACTCTATGTGCACATGCCTATGTATGCACTGCCGACATCTCGGGACCAAGTGGAGAACCCCCAAGACTCTTTAAGACGCTTGTATTGCAAGCCATGGTTGTACTTGCAATAATGACAGGTACAAACCTTGCTGTTTGGTGGCCACACCGGGGCATAAACCAACTCCTTCAACTGTAGAACTTTATTTGGCAACCCACAACCCTAAGCCACAAACTCATGATGCGGATGAACCGTTGGCTTGTGCCTTGCAGCATGACGGCACGGATACCTTACCTAGCTGTCCTGATCGGCAGGGGTCCTAAGTGCATGACATGTGTGTGTACGCATAGGCAGGCGTACATGTATGTCCATGTATTTACACACATACTTGTGTACATGAATGTACGTAGTCGAAAACGGTTTAAAGATCTGTGCGCACATATATATATATATATATATATACACACTTATATATTTGTTTAGATATATATATATATATATATATATATACACATACGGCCAGAGCGAAAAATGCGTACTCATGCGATGCTGCTGGATTTGTCGTCCGCCTGGCTGTAAACACTAAAACTTAGCGTCTAGCGTCTGATGCATCCATACAGCCCCGGTATCCCAAACCCTAAACTTCAAACCCAGACGGAAAAAGGGGCGTTTAAAGAAAAGCCCTAAACCCTGAGCCCAGGTGTCCACAGATCTGCAAGGAGGCGCCATGCAGACGCGGGAGATCTCGACAACCGCGAACGTCGCCGTCTGCGAGGATCGCGCATGGGGTCTGTGCAGAGTAGGGCGGGTAATATAGGGGTTTAGGTGTTTTTTCGGGTTTAGGGCTCAAATAATTGCCAATAGACTATTTTGGTGGTTCCTTAATGGTCATTATAGCATATTGGGCCCCCAATACCCTATTCTAATTATTAAGGCCCCTATAGTAGGGTTCAGGGTCTCGGGTTTCGGCAGTAAGGGCTTCGAGTCTAGGCTTCATGGGTTTTCGGGTTTAGTTTAGGGTTTAAGGGTGTAAGGGTTCAACGGTCAACGGTTTAAAGGTGTTGGCTTTAGAACACAAGGGTTTAAGGGTTTAAGGGTTCCCTAAATTCAGGACTCTAGAGGCCGCAGAACTACAAGACTTCTGCATGCTGAGGAGATTCTCCGTGGGACCGGCGTGGGATGGACTACCTCGGCTTGTGCCGAAGCGCTGCTGCAAGCAGGGGCCCAAAAGATCAGATTTAGCAGCGCTGATGAGGGCTCCTTTGCCGCTTTGCGTGTGGCCACATTATCATGCTTCACGCCTTTTCCTCGTTAGGACATGGTTCACTATGCTCGGGTCTGCCTCTCAAAGCTGCAATACTTTGCATGTCTGTGTGCAATTGTGTGTGTAACAGGAAGAACATCCTTCCGTACAACTTGCGATGTGCAGCTTGCTCTCAGGCCCTCCGTACACACTCTAGCAAGACCATCTGTGGCGCAAGCTCAGGCAGACAGGCAGGCTCGCGCGACTGCTTCTCTGTTCCTTGGCATGATGCTAGCAACAGCGATACAAAGGAAACCCCACCGGCAGCACTCGTCCACGCTTTGGTGCCTTGCAGCACTCTTTCGGTTGATAAGGCCAGCGCAATGTGGGCATTGCAGCGCCGGGAACCCGGTCTAGCCAGGGTAGAGGTTTTTGAACGCATAGCGACCAGCCAGCATGCCATGTCTGGGAACTTATGCTAAGAGGGGATGGACGAGCATTCCATTGGTCATTGGCCCAGCCCGTTTTATGAGTTCTTCGCCGAATCCAGCCGCCGCTTCTTCACGTGAAGCCAACCCTGCCATGTCAAATACAATCCAGGCGATGGCAGTGCAGAACATGGCTTCGGAAGGTTCGCCGGCATCTGATGAAGCAGACATCTCGAACTCACATGAATCGGTGGAGACACAATCAGAACAGCTGCGCAAGCTCGAGAAGCAGCTGACAATCCAGTCCGAGAAAGAGCAGACGATCAGCGTGTCAAATCTGGTGCCCAAATTTGTCCTCGGTTCGCTACCAATCGTTGCGGGCTTTTTCCCTGTTGGTGTCAAGCTAGCCCAGGAGCACAATTGGTGCCAGGCCGGCTTTGCCATACATCGCCCCTTGGCTTTTTCCTTCCTCCTCTCCGGACTCTGCTTCTTGGGCCTGCTGGTTGGGGCATTTGGGCGCGGGGCAGCGGGCAAACTCCTGAGGAGGAGGTACTTGCTCCTGATCCCGGGTGGCCTTACAGCTCCAGGGAGAATCGTTGGGGAAGCTATGGCAGCGACCCTCATCGGTCCTGTTCTTACCACGGTGCTCCTAAAGACCAACGTACTCCACAACCTGTGGATGCAGGCCGCACGCCTGCGGGAGATGCCGCAGAAGATAAAGTGCGTCTTGGTCCTGAGCTGTGTGCTTCTTGCGGCATCTACGCTCTTTGGGAAGGTGGTTCAAGCACATTAGGAGGGGCATCCCTGGTGCAGGGTCTCTCACTGGCTGTGGCGGCCGCTGCCTTTTCCGACATGTCCTTTGAAATTGCTGCCCAGCAGTGTGCGAAGCTAGAGCAGCAGGGTGGCCAGGACTACAATTTGCGAGCGGAAGAGGTGCGGTGCATGATTGTCGACGTGATGGTTTCTGCCTTGACATCTGCCGTGATGGCTGTTGTCATGGAGTGGAGCATACTTAAGCAGGGAGTATTCTGTGGACTGACATCATACTCGCTCTTGGGCATTGTGCTCCTGAACGCTCTCCGAAACCCGCTCTTCCAGTATGCGCTCATGAATGCAGGAGCCATGGAAACGAGCGTCGTCACGTCGCTGGACATTATAGCAACGTACATCTTCTCGCTTATCCTACTCCCATCAGAGACATCAGTGCAGCCTCTCAACGTCATGATACTTGCCGCCCTGCTTTGCGCCACAGTGGCCTACACCTTGCTGGATGACTTTCGGCAGGCCGCCAGGTCCAAGGTGGCCGCAGAAGTCCGGGACTGCATCCGTGACATTATGAAGGGCCCAGAACCGTGAGGCGAGGTGGGCAACACGTAGAGCGAGAGCCTTAATGGGCATTTTTCTCTGGGCCGCCTGGAAGGCCGGCGGTCTGAACATTTTTCGCTGAAATGCCAGAGAAACTCGGAAAACAGGAGTTCATGTTACATGAGCCAGTCTTTGTGGCAATGCTTTCTTGTTCAAAGGCACCTGCGTGTACTGAAGTCTCCGGATCATGAGTTTGATGTTTCAAGGCTTAGAGAGCGGCGAGATCGAAGCCGCGACGGAGCCTGTGCCTCTGAGCTTCTGAGCCCTTTGCTTTCTGCACACACTGCTGCGTGGGAAGTCGTGATGTCCTGCAATCAGAGAGAGCTGTGAGGGATCTGGAAAGTCTGAGTTTTCTGAAGAAGGAAGCAGCTTCATCGGACGCATCCTTGGTGCTTGAAGGTCCAGAACCGTCAGTGTGTCATGTAAACCTGATTGAGATAGGATGTGCGATGTTCAGACTTTCACCGCTGAGGTGGCGCTCTGTGTAGCCAGGTGGAGGAATATAGATCTCTATATTCCTACGACGAAACAATCTGATAAAATCTCTACATGCGTACAATATTCCTTGCATGTGATCCCTTCGTTCCTTACCGGCCACCAGTGGGCTTTAGCGTGCGGCCTAGGCAGTCGGGCGTGCGACAGTTTTGCAGGCAATAAGTCAGTGGAGATGGATATGCAAAAGCAGGGGTGCACAGCATCCCAAGATGACCTGACATCGCAATATGAGTAGTACTCTATTTAGGGATACCATGGTACCCATTGTAGAGTAAGATTATATCATTATATCCTCCGTTGGGGGGTATAGTATTTTATTCAAGTAAAGTATATAATCTTAGTAGATTCAACCACCAAAAAACGCTACTCATATGATGTTCGCAATGTAGTGATGTGGCCAAGGCATTGGCGAGTGAGACCCTCATGCAGGGGCCTCGTACAGGAACCGCTTCAGTCAGATGTAATAGCAGTTCTATGTAAGCTATAGTCTAAAGGCCTTAAAGGGGCTTATATAGGGGATTAGTATATGGGTTATGAAGCGAGTGTTGACTACAGCAATGTGGAAGTGTTTATGCATCCGGGGCCCCAACATACACCCAATATCACGCAATCGCTACTGTAAGGACCCCCAGAGGGATCCTTATTTTTTTGTTATCTTGGGAATATCTCCAGATATCCCTATGGGAGTTCATATGTTTTCCATTATTTCCCAAAATGACCCACGCGAAGAAACGTCTGTCCCTTGAGGCGAAGAAGCTGAAGGTTCATGCAGGCCAGATGGACCTGGTGGAGCAGGCGCCTCGGCTTTGAAGGTTGAGGGATATATCTATTATCTATAAATATGAGTATATATATATATATATACATATATAGATAGACATGTAGAATGATGTGGGATCCTTTTTAATCATAGGGACCTCCAACTCCCCCCCCCCCCAATAATGGGGGAGTCCGGAAATTAAAATGGAAATGAAGGGTCCTCAATTCGGGGCTCCTGAGGTCTGAGGGGTTTGGGGAGTGAAGTGATTGAATTATTGAGGCCCCACTCCGAACCCTTATAGTAGCATCTAGAGTAATCCCTTTAACGGGGGTTTCCGTATTATGAACGATTTCTGACGGCTCCAGAGTTTTTCCAGGATCCCCAAAAATCAAAACACATTGAAGCGACCCTCTATACCAATGAGTGCCCAACATTATGGGGGAAAAATGGAAAAGAAAGCCGGAACTACCATATTATGTATATTGGATAGGGACATCACCTGTGGAGAAGTAAATGGAAGATGGAAACTGGAGCTGGAAAGGGATCATATCTGAACGTACTTAGTGCGAGCTTTTGAAGGTTCACTGCGATGAGGTTATTGCCAATGAGTGCAGAGACTGCTCCCTAGCAACATACTCTGAGGAGCTTTCAGCTGATGCTATGTGCTCTTGGTTCTTTTAGGGTCTAGGGTTTACTTGAAGAGTAGGAGCTGATGCACTCCAAGTGACAAAGCCATCAACAAGGCGGAATCCAACACACCAATAGCGCAGCTACAGCAGTACTTGAAACACAGCCATGAAGGGTTACACGGGGTTATTTAGGGTTGGATACGGGTACATAGGGGTGGCTAGGTTTTGAACCAGCAATCTGCGCAGACCTGCCAGGACAAGTTTGTCCACTACACATTCGTCTACTTCCCTGTCTTCTATGTCACTAAGGTCCGCCGGAAGCACGTGAGAGAACATCGATCATCATCCTCACCCCACCATCAGCCACCCACACCCCTGATAATGCATGATAATCCGCAACGTTGTACCGTAGGGCTTACGTTTTCTGAAATTGCATCTCCCATCACCCATCGGGGTACCTCATGTGAGTCGTAGATCATTACGCTAGGGATTTGCAAAGACAGCGAACTCGCAACAACCGCCGTATTCAAAAAAGACTGCGGCTGAATCATGGTGTGAATGCCATTTGCTAGCCAGCGCGAGAGTGAACATATCTGTGACGAGACTGCCTGGATTGATAAACAATGGTTAAGGCTTGGGGATACTTGAGGCATGAGAAGGAAACAGCATCTTGGCCAGCGACCGTTGTCAAAATCACAGCTACCTGGTTTTCAGCGTATAGAGAGGCTCGGGACTCACGTCCTCGAAGGGAGGCTGTGACAGTGCCTGTAGCATGAGGACTGTTCAGGAGAAAGTATCCATGTTTGCTGAAAGACATCCTTGAAATCTTGCACTCTCAATTGTCAGTGTGAAGCCAGGAAACCGCTGACAGCTGCTTCTGCCACAACGGCGGGTCGTTTTTTTCTTGTTGGGCCCCTGCTTCGTGAGAAGCCTCGGCACAAGATGCCGGGCAACTTAGCGCGCAAAGTCAGCTCTTGCCGCCTGTACCATATTCGAATCTGTCATGCAAGACTCTGGGTCCCTCGCCTTGCTTCCATTGTTATTAGGACTAAGACTACTGTCATCATTATTGTGATTACGATTTGTTTGTTAGTGTTGACCTTCTTCTGGCATTGACGTGGGAGCGCGTCTCAGAGACTAGGATTCCCCATGCATGGACCCTACCCTGGATTCCCTACCACATGGGATCCCAAAAAGGGATCCTTGTAGTAAAGAATGCCACTGTTTCACCTGGACCAAAGTGACCAAAGTTAATGGACAAGGCAAGACAAAGTCTTACTGCTTGCCAGGAGTGGGCAGGGGCTCCTTGCCCGCGTGAAGAGGGCACAGGCTCATTGCGAACGCATGAAGAACGGCTGGTTTCGACACCGAGCATACAAGCAAATTCCCAAGCCTCAACTCAACCCCAAATCGAGAAAGCAACGTCCCTCATGTTCCCCAATGAAACTATATCTATATATATATATATATATATATATTTGTATGTGTATATACAGTTTCATAGAATGAAATGTACTCCCCAAACACTGTTCCAATATATTGTTAATGCCCCCACATGAAATAAATCACCTTCAGCACCATTCAAAGCTCGTCGAATCCAGTCTTAGCGTGAGATGTGCCTGCTAGTCGGCCACGTGTTTCGTAGGGACCGAAAGGACTTGCAGCAGGCACCACGCGAGCGGATAACGAAAGATTGGTTGAGTCACCTTTATTGCATGTAGTGGTGGTACCAAGGCTCCGAATCAACTATTTGCAGTGGTGGCGGCGGTGGCGGTGGTGGTGGTGGTGGTGGTGGTGGCTGTGGCGGTGGCGTTGTCGTGGTGCTTCGTGGTCGTGGCAAAGTGTTGCACTTATGTTCCTGCAACCCGTTGCGTAGCGAACCCCCGAACAGCGGAGCCCTCAAGCTGTGGCGATCTAACTGTCCGAAACACATAAGCTACAACAAGCCCCTCAACCCTTATACATCGGCAGGATAAAAGTTTTTTCGCACTTGCTTATAGCTTTATGCGGAGGACTCGGAGAACGGACAAGTGCAGTTTGTGTTGCCCGGCCAGTGGAGGAATTAATCCACCGGAGTAAACGATTCGAACGGAGGACTGGGTGGAGGAGTCTAAGAGCAACATGCAGGAGTACGACGAGCTTTCTTCCTACCGCAGTAGAACTCTTGCAGTATCCTGATACACCTTCGCGAACCCTCATAAAACTGAAAGTTTCTGAAACCCAACCACGCCTTAGAGCCAATTTGGTTCGAGATCCTTGGCGCCCGGAAGTAGTGCCGGATAGGAAGCCATGGATATCATCGCACCCAGGGCCCCTGTGCCACATTCTACACAGCCGTTTCGCGGCTTGGCGGCTGAACTTCAAAGGCAGACACCCTACTTAGAAAGGATCTCGGGGCTTGGTTACTAGGGTTATAATATAAGTATAATTATAACCCCAGCTAAGATACTTAAACCCTTGCTTACTAACCTGCAGTACCGTGTGGCGTCCGCTGCAACAATCCGAAACGCAAGCACTCTGAGTACTGAGCTTCTGTTCTATGTTTCAAGACGTCGCCCTGAGCATCAAACCTTAAAGCCTAAACCCTAACCCCCCTAGGCCTAAGCCTCGTAAACCTCCTAAAGCCTAAACCCTTTAAAGCTTAAAAGCCTAAACCCCACACCTCAATCGCTTGCTACTACTCTTCACTTCAAGGAGCCCTATCCTGCTTGTTAAGGCTCCTGTATCACTGACTCCTTCTTGTAAATAGCCCTTACTTAAAGGATCATGAGACTTAGTAACCTAGGGTTATAAGTAAGGTAGCTATACTCATATTTACTTATAAGCCCGAATAAGGTTTCTACACCTTAGATCAGGATCCGTCGCCTCCTTGGCAGAGCGGAGGCGGTTTCGGCGAGAGTGGGTTTAAGATTCGGGTACCTTTACGGCTGCATGTGAGGCTCCTATAAGAAGTCTATTCGAGCATGGGCTCTTGGGTTTTGGGGATCATCGACTCAAAGTCCGTCGTGTGCAGCGTTGGGGGTTAGTAGGGTTTGGTGCTTGGCGGTTTAGAGGTTTTGGGTCTAGGGTTTAGGGGTTTAGGGTTTAGGGTTTAGGGTTCCAGGGTT